CCAAGATGAACATGAGTCTTCAATGTGATGCAGCAATCAGTAAAGCTAACCGCACTTTATCGTGCATTAGCAGGTGCATGACAAACAGGTCCAGGGAGGTGATACTTCTCCCTCTATGCAGCATTGGTCAGGCCATGGTTGGAGTACCGTGTTCAGTTTTGCATGCCACACTCCAAGAAAGATGTGGACAACCTCGAGAGGGTTCAGAGGAGGACCACTTGTATGATTAGGAGCCTGCAGGCAAAGCCCTACGAGGAAAGATTGAGGGCCCTAGATCTCTTCAGCCTGCGCAAGAGAAGGCTGAGAGGTGATCTTGTGGTGGCCTACAAATTCATCAGGGTGGGAGAACAGCAAGGAATAAGAGATGCTCTGTTTACCAAGGCACCCCTTGGAGTAACTAGGAACAACTGCCACAGAGCAGATTTAGGTTAGACATCAGGAAGAACTTTAATGGCAAGGGTTGCCAGAATATGGAATGGGCTTCCAAGGGAGGTGGTGCTCTCCCCTACCTCAGGGGTCTTTAAGAGGAGGCTAGATATGTATCTGACTGGGGTCATCTGACCCCACCACTCTTTCCTGCCCAGGGCAGGGGGCTGGACTCGATGATCTGCTAAGGTCCCTTTCGACCCAAACTTCTATGAATGCTAAGGAATTAATAGTCCTTGCCCTTTATAAATCTATCATTAAGGAAGAGACTATGGACTATAGCAATAGGCTTAATAGCTCATGCCCACTTGTTTATTTAATCTGATATTTTGTCTTCCAGTGATTATCAATATACCTGTAATATTTTTCAGAGGAAGGATCGGAATTTCTATTAGGAACAATAATGCATTAATATATCACCAGGTAGATTCTCTCCCAATCTCAACAAACTAACAGCAAGCATAAGTATAAAAACTGGTATCTCTTATACTAACTATAATAAACATTTATATTTTGAAATAATTTAAGTGCCTAATCCTGTTCTAAGACACACTGGGCACATCTAAATGTCCAATTAATTCACAGCAATAAATTCCAGCACATATCGCACCAGTTTAGTGCTCCCAGGCACTGCATTTGAACATTTGCTTGGGACTGCAGCATGTTGAGCCATGTCAGAGCAGCCCTGGCCGGCAGAGGGCCTGGGGTGTCAGCCTGCCAGCCCGAGGCTGCTCCAACCCGGCTCAACATGCTGTGGAAGGGCTGGCTAGGGCATGAGGGTGCTCAAGTATCAGGCCAGCCGGCAAACAGCTTCTGTACTGAAGTACCTTCATGCCCCAGCCAGGCCTGTCAGCATCTATACGTGCATTGTTGTGCACTAAAAATCTCCACAGAAGGGTAGTACTTGTATTTACTTCAGAGGAGTTTATTAGTTTACTGCAACCTAATAGAGTCGCATATATAGACACTGAGACGCTTACTGTGGAGCTAATTAGGAAGCTCTGCAGTAAATGTCTTGTGTAGATGCACCCACTGAGTTCTCTTCCTCAGTGTCTTATGTAATTGAGTTCCATACATTTATTCTGTTGAAAAAAACCCCAAAACAACATACCTTACAATTAAAACATTCTTCCAGTATGAAACATGGTGAACATAAGCCAAGATGGGACTCTCCCTATATTGTTTATTATTTTATGTATTGTATCTTCATGGAGTTTCCACCTAGATGTCTCTAATCTTTTAACCAGATCTATTAAACTAATACCTTTGTGCCTCTAAGTTTTGTTCCACTTTCTATACTTTCTTTTTAGATAATATTCCTTTCTGAGATGGGAAGAAATTCAGTCCCTCTGGTGGTACCCATTCTCTTTTACATGATGACTTTATAGTGGTTTCAAATGATTCTCTGTGTCCTTTTTTTTGTACAACCTAATATTACTTGGACCGGATTTCTATTTTTAGAAGAATAGTTTTTGGGGCTTGGAAAAAATAAAGTATTTTGTCATTTAAATACGTGTGCTTTAATTGGGGTTTTTTTGCCCTTTTTTGTTTAAGCATCCTATGAATACATTGTCGTCCATCTATTTTAAGGTTTTACAATTCTTATCTTTCATCTCATCAGTTTTTGAGACTTTTAAAAATATCTTTCCTAAAGTATGACTTCACAACATACTGTTTTGGTATAATGAGTATGAAACTGACCTATATTATAATCACTATTATCAGTTCAAGACCCATATCTTTTGTGTTCCTTGGGTACAGGACAAGGCTGACTTCTGTTTTTGCATGTTCCAAAACTAACTGTTCCAAAACCAACCATCTGTGGTTTGAAAAACACTAACATTATCTCATTGTGACTTTTGATCATTTATATTTGGATAGTTAAATACTACCCTACCTTGCTTGAAAAGATTTTTTTCCTCTGAGTTCTCTCTCACTCCTATGCACTTGTTAGCATTGTCCTGAGCCAGAAACTGACAGTATAAATCCTGATGTACAATTAAGACAGTGATATCTTTACACTGGAATATGTATTCTATTCAGATTAGACACATTCCAAAAGCCTAATACTCTGAAAGAGGATACAACCTTTAAAACTGTTCTTTCTTTGCTTGCTTCTTTGTTTCTACATGAGTATCACCATTCATTGCTTTTGGAAGAGGCTTTATTACTCAACTTGTACTTCAGCTGGCTGAGAAAATCTAGCAAGCATGATGCATGTCCACTCATGGATAAATCAGGACTTGTTCACCTTTTCTTAAACCTTATCCACAATCTCAGAACTTTAAAAGTTTATTTTCCTTTCAAATGTTATAATTCCACGTTAATGACCCACAGCAATTCTAATAAATAAAAGGATACATTCCTCCTCCTGAAAATAGGTCTCAGCTATCTGTACAGGAACAAAAAAAACATGTTCAACATTATAATTTCTCATTTCTTTATAACAGCTGTAAATGTGTACTTGTGTAAATGCATTATCTTAATTTTTAATATATGCTTTGTTATTTTTGTATTTAGTTTGTCCAAATGTGTTCCAGGTTTAATATTAGACAGTCATGTTCTTATTCCAGAAAAGGGTTTTAAAGAAGAAAAACAAATAATTAAAAAATAGTATATTTATTTTAAGACTTATAAATATATTTAAAAGCAGACTTTCCAGATGAGTATTTGGATTGTACAACTAAGCAATAACTGGGAAGCGGTAAATACTGATGACAGTGTCCAAGTAGCAAACTCTCATTTTTCATATATTCACACAAACTGGTAGGCCAAATTATTAGTTGGATTTTAGCCCTTTTAAAGCAATTAATTTCTATGTTTAAGTGCTTATATAACGAAGAACTTTGATACACCAGTTTAGAATGGCACATTCAGAGCTGTGCAGTGGTTGAGAGTTTTTGAATGATAAAGTATTACTTCCTCATGTTCATGGGAACCGATATTGGACCTCTTTTTGTATTAGAGTAAACATGGTAGTTAAGGCCATTTTTTTTAAATGCTTGATAATTGTGAGTGGCTCATTACTAGAGTGTTCAGTTTGAGATGCCAACAGTACATTATTCAAGTAATTTAACTGGAGCTCTCACTGCTCACAGCAACTTTTGAAAAGTTCTGGGTGCCAAGCTGGGCACCCTAAAAAAGGACCAATACACAATCACTGCTCTCACTTTTATAAATATACTTAAATTACTTGTCCAAGATGCACAGTGAGTCAGTGGTATAGCTTTGTTTACTAGTTTGGTGTTCCTTGTTCTTGGTCTGATCTACTAGCCACCATCCATTTGGGGCGAGCATCTTGAAAACAGAATTGACAGTCCTTTTTAGGACATATTCTGAATATCCTGGGTGCTACCTGGAATGATAGTCCCAAGAATTTCTGGAACTACTCAAAGATGTTCACAGAAGATTCAGAAAAGCATTTTTTATTTTCTATCATATAGTGGCAAAAAAAATTACAATCATCTCAAAAACTAAAAAGTGTGTTTTAGGGTTACACACGAAAGAATATTTTCCCCACTAAATCAAAGTTAATTGTTAGAAAAATACCCTAATGTAACAAAGCCTTGAAATACTTAATGTGAGGGTTTTCATAAATACATTTCTGAACTCTAATGTCTTAATTCTCTGTGATACAACAGGTGGTTTTATCTTAGGATCATAGAAAGTAAGGCTGGAAGGTATCTCAGGAGGTTCTCTAGTCCAGAACTAGCTAACTTGCAGCATGCGTGCCACAAGAGACATGGGCTGTCTCTGCATGTGGCATGTGGCAGATTGAGGAGGGAGCTGGAAAAACAGGGGCTGGTAGGGCAGAAAGCAGAGCAGCAGATGGGGCTGGGGAAGGGGATTGGAGTGGTACACGGGGAGGATATAGAGTTTAGCTTGCGGCACGCCTGACAAAAAATTTGGCCTCCTGCAAAAAATTTAGTCCAATCCCCTCCTCAAGGCAGGATCTCCACTGACTAAATCAATCCAGTGAAGTCTTAAAAAAATGTCCAAAGATGGAGATTCCACAACCTCTCTGGGCAGCCTGTTCCAATACTCTCCCAAGTTCCTCCTAGTATCAACCTACATTTCCCCAGCTGCAGGTTGAGACCCTTGCTCTTTGTTCTGTCCCATTCAGCTACAGAAAAGTCTCTACCCCTCCTTTTTATAAACACCATTCAGATATTTGAAATGTATTAAACTCCACCCCCTCCAAGTCTTCTCTTCTCCAAACTAAATAATCCTAGTTCTGTCAACTTTTACTCATAAGCCATGTTTCCCAGACCTTTAATCACTTTTGTCACTCTCCATTGGACTCTTTCTAGTCAGTCCACACCTGTCTTACAATATGGGACCCATGTGAGAGCAGTGCTGGGCATGTGAAATCCTGGCATGTGAGGGGCAGGAAGGGGCAGTATCAGGTCCTTAGTCCCAATCCTAGCACATGGGGGCAGAAGGGGGTGGTGCAAGGCCCAATCCCAGTATGCGGGCAATGGGAGAGGGTAGTGTTGGCCCCCTGGCCCAGACCTGGTGCATGGGCAGTAGAAGGGAGCAGTACTGGGCTCTGGGACCCAATCATGGTGTGCAGAGACAGGAGGGGGTGGTATCAGGTGCCCATGACCAATCCTGGCACATGGGGGCAGAAGGAGGCGCTGCTGGGATTCAAAGCCCCAATCCCTGGATGTGGGGTGTGGTAGGGAGTGGTGCTAAGCTTCTGGGGCCTATTCTCAGCACATGAGGGTTGGTAGGGGGCAGTGTCAGGCCCCAGGTCCCAATCTTGACATGTGGGGACAGAAGGGAGCAGTGCTGGACTCCTGGGACTCAATCCTGGTGCACTGGGCCCTCTAGATACAATCCCAGTGCGTGGGACTTAATTCAGTTACTGTGTTAGTTATTACTTAACATTTCTTAGGAAGGAAGGATGATCTTGTGGGTAGGATATAAGACTGGAAATCAGGAAATCTATACTGTATTCTAAGTTCTTCTACAGATTTCCTGTGTGACTTTGAAAATGCTATTTTCCTTGTGCTTTAGTTCCACTTGTACAGCAGCAACAACTAGGACCTTCTGGCCTACATACTGCAGAGATGTTGTGACAATAAAATCATTAATGTTAGTAAATACATTTTGAGCATTTTGCACTAATTATGATGCGTTTCTTATAAAAAGTGATGTTAATTAATGATCTGGACCAAAAAAAAAAAAAAGACATAGCTAGAGGCATGTCCTATATCAGACTTTAAGACAAGGCCCATATTATGGAAAAAGGTGTAGTTCTAATGCAGTTGTGCCCAATCTTTTCCCTCACTTGGGCTGGATGGACAGTGCTCAGTCTGTCCCATGGGCTGGATCCTGCTGGAGGACCTGATCTGGTACTTGGGAGACACAGGCCCAATCCGGTGCTTGGGCAAGGCAAGCCTAACCTGCCTGTGTGTGGTGGGGTTGGGAAGCAGCCCAGCCCAAATCTGGCTGTGCAGGTGGATGAGAGGATGGAAGGGGTATGGCCTGGCCCCAATCCAGCTGTAAGGGGGAGGGGTGCGGAAAGGGAAGTAATCCAGCATGGCCCTGCAGGGATTGGGAATTTAGCAGCAGGGGAGGGTGGCAGTATTACTTGCCACTGCTCCCCACCACTAAATTTCCCAACCGATGATGATCCCTGCAGGCCAGATGCTGCATCTCCGTGGGCCACATTTGGCCTGCAGGCCAAAGATTGAGCCCCCCTGCTCTTATATACTTTAAAAGTATATTACAGACAATACAAGGCAATACAATTGCATTACAGGCAACTGGTAGTTTTAACATGTAGAAGATGGTCACAGGAAGACCCTAGGTGAGCAAAGTTCTTCTTTGACCCTTTAATTTTGTGTTTAAACTACAAATTGCTTGTGCACATTAGGATACTAATGTAAGTTAACAGTATATCTTTTTTCCTAGTGAAAACAAAGGTGTTGCTCAGCACAAAAATCATGTATAGGAACACTATATTATATGGAATACCTGATGAAGACACAGGGGCAGTATCCTCAAGTCCATCTGCTCAACCTCTTCTCGAAGCAGGGAGAAGAGAGGCTGCAAAATCTGCTTTTGCTTCTTTTGCTGACAGTTTGCATTTGTTTTATTGGTGTCTTCCTCACGCACAGTCTCTGAGGCTGCAACAAGAACATTCTCTTCCTTTCCTGCCGTAGTCTCCACTGGAGGAGTGCCTTTGAAGAGAAAAATACCTCGGTTAAGATATACAAATATTACAGGTTGCATTTCCAGAAATATTTGAAAACTGCAAAAAAATGTAACTATATGAATAATTATCCTAAAACCAGGTAAAAATCTGGTGTGGTTAAGGTCAGGTGTAACAGATAAGCTGACTCTGATGCAAAGCTATCTAAAGAAAAACACTAATGAGTGTCACATGTTCTTGTCTAACTGTAACTAAAGAGGTGCTGGGCCCTTCCTAAAGGCATAATATCTGATGATAATATTCCCTTCCCCATTATAAAGGTCACATTCTGAAGTTCTGGAAGGTACGTGGAGGTCTCTGCAGATACAACAACACTTGGAGGTCTTGTAAAAGTATAACATGCAACTGGAAAGCTTGTAAATTCTGTTTGACAGTCATGATTCTTAAGCATTAAGAAGTTATTCACCCCAGAGTGAGAAATAATTTACAATCTCTGCAAATGAAAAAAGAAGAGCTCACAAGCAAGATGAATATGATTTCTCAACCTGGATATCCTTCCACCAGAGTCCCCCATTCACCCTCACTTCCCATGTTCCCCATGGTTAATCTCTCACCACTCACTAGAACGGGGCTTTGTTAAATGCTACTAACCTCTTCAGAGATTTGGTAATCTTGTAAGCAAAATACCTCATAACTATTTTATTCTCCCCTAGCTGCAACATATAATACACATATAGTCTATGCATAAATATATACGCCTTAGGAAAACAACCAATTCCTCTGAGAATTTGCCATATTCTAAGCATGGAATTTAAGTTAACAAAAGCCTCTTTTTCAATGGAAAGCTTACTTTATTGCTTCATCTATCACTCAAGCAGCTACAGATTTTCTTCAGAGTTTTCAAATTAACAAACCAACCATGAGCCAAGCATGGAAAATTTCAGCCTAACAGTCTAAAAGCTACAGAAAATGTCTTGTCTTATTAGATAAGATGCATCACCTTTTGCCTGAATATCTTGCCATTTAGAAAAGAGGTAACAGAAATAGAGATCTATAGAGACAAGATGTATTTTGCTTTTTATATCACTCTCCTATGGGATGATCTGAAATAAAAAGGGGTTACAGATGATGCTACAGCAGATACCTACATCTCAACAATTAGCACTCAAGTGTAACTTCAAACAGACAAATTTGCATATTAAAAAAATCTTGCAAATCACAGCTGCTTTAACAAGACGTCAAGAGTTGACGGGCCCACAGACTAAGACCAAAAGTTTGTAATGCATTTATGTCAACGTCAATAAATTTGTCCTCGACTGAGGTAGCCATGCCAGCAAAAAAATCCTAGTGTAAATGTGCTTTTAGTAGAAAACTTGCTCTCCTTGTGGGAATGGTATTATCATGCTGGCCTAAAGTACAGCTTTGCTGGCATGGCTGAATCTACACAATATATACTTTGCCAATACAGAATACCAGTATTCTACTTTGTTTAAAAAACCCTGTAGTATAAATATGGTCTAAACTACCATATACCTACCCAATCCCATTAGCAACTTCAGTTTGCTAATGCCACAAATAATTCACCTTTCACCAATATTAAAAAAGTAGCTCTTAAAATATTTTAAGAAACCTGGCAGGATTATTATTTTACAAGGACCTACTTACCTGTTTTACAAGGATTTTACAATAGTTATACTCTATGTTGACTTGCCAACAATTTTCTTAAAATACTATCTTAGAATTAGAGCTGGTTAGAAAATTTTTATTATAATAATTTCGTGAAGCTTAGATATTTGTGAAATCATAATAATAAATTCCACAACATTCTTGCAAGCAAGCTAAGGAAGTACGGGTTGGATGAACAGGCTGTAAGGTGGATAGGAAACTGGCTGGATCATCAGGCTCAAAGGGTAGTAATCAATGGCCGATGTCTAGCTGGCAGCCAGTATCAAGCAGAGCACCCCCAGGGTCGGTCTTCAGCCTGGTTTTATTCAGTGTGTTCAACAATCTGGATGATGGGATGAAGTACACCCTCAGGAAGTTTGTGGATGACACGAAACTGGGGGAGTAGTAGATATGCTGGAGGGTAGGGCTAGGATTCAGAGAGAAATTGGAGGATTGGACCAAAAAAAAAGTCATGAGGTTCAATAAGGACAAGTGCAAATCCTGCACTTAGGATGAAACCATCCTATGCACCGCTACAGGCTGGGGACCAAATTGCTCAGTAGCAACTCTGCAGAAAAGGACCTGGGGGTTACAGTGAACAGTAAGCTGGATTTGAGCCAGCGGTGTGCCCTTGTTACAAAGAAGCCTAACAGTATACCAGGCTGCATCAGCAGTAGCGTTACCAGCAGATTAGGGGAAGTGATTCTTCCCCTCTATTTGGCACTGGTGAGGTCACATCTAGAATACTGTGTCCAGTCTTGGGCCTCATACTACACAAAGGATGTGGACAAATTGGAGAAAGTCTAGTGGAGGACAACAAAAATGGTTAGAAGCCTGGGGCACATAATTTCTGAGGAGAGGCTGAGGGAATTGGGCTTATGAGGATTTGATAACAGCCTTCAACTACCTGAAAGTTAGTGCCAAAGAGGATGGAGCTAGACCACGGGTGGGCAAAATATGGCTTGTGGGCTGGATGTAGCCCACCAACTAATTGTATCCAGCCCACAGGTAGGCAGCCACCAATTTCTGCTTCTGCCATGTTGGGCAGGTAGGCTGTGGACAGGGCTGGCAGGTATAGGGTGGCCATCAGAAGTTGAACATTTATAAATCTTCAGTGATACACAGAGATAGATATGATAGTTTCTGCTGTTTGTGTCAAAGTTAGAGGTTTTTTTCTTTTTGTTTGTTCCTATAAATACAAATACATAATATACCTTCCTTACCTATCTATTCTCATTTCCTTGCTTATTTG